GCCAATGGCACTTTTTGTTCCTCCACCTGCTCTGCAAGAGGGCTCCCAGCCAGGGAGATGAGCACACCAGCACGTTCACTTCCCTCAAAACCCTCAGTGCATTGAGCACAGCACAGCACCTAGGCTGGCTGCCAGCACTGTGTGCACAAGCAGGGCCACCAGCACTGCTCAGCAGCGCCCAGGACAGTGCCGGGAAGGTTCTCCTTTCTCTGGTGAGCCCTCAGGCTTGTTACGAGCAGCACAATTGCACAACACAGGAGTCTGGGGATTTTTCTGAGCCAAGACAGGCTTGGGCTCAGGCTGAACCAGCCCAGCAGTGCACACGGAGCCCCAGCAGCAGCAAGAGAGCTGCCCTCACCCGCTGCTGTTATGAAACATGGGGATATACAAGGGCGAGAGCAGCACTGCCACTAAGAACAGCCCAAACACCATTTCTCAACATCCACATCTTCCCCTCTGCAGCCTCTCACCCCTCTGATAGCCCTACTCCCAAACAGCTGAAGGACCAGAGAATAAGGGAGCACTGAAGAGCAATAGGAAGGTCCCAGCAGGGCAGCCCTGCTCTGCAGGGGCCTGCAAGCTGCAGATCCCAGCTAGAGCCCCTCCTGCTTTAATCCCCACAGATCCCGCCTGGAACGCGCAGGCCAGAGCAGCAGGAGCCACACACGTCACTGCAATGAAGAACATCCCTTTGTGTTTGCAGCCTGACCTATTTTCCCTTTTCCCCATCTGCTCCACACTCTCATTTACTCCCTGACCTGTGGATGGGCTTCGCCCCCACTTCCCAAACCCTTCAGCTCAGCACCAGTAAAACTCCTAGGAGGCAGGCAGACCAATGCTGTTAACCGTGCAGGGACACATGGGAGCAGGGGGAGCTTTTGCAGGCACCAGCCTGCTCCCCCGAGTGATTATAGAGCACTGGAACACAAACAGGAAAGGAAAAGGAATTGCAGTCGGACCTGAAGCTGGACTCCGTGTTACATTTGAAAACATCTTGCTTGTATAACAGAATCCCTGCCCAGCTCATCCTGAACCCTGGCAGCAGGCAGCACTCAGGCTGAGCACATTTAGAGCACAGCTGGCTCCATCCTGCCAGCACAAGGATCACATGCTGGAAGAACAGCAAAAGGATTTTTTCCATCAGCACCCATTTTCCACAGGAGGAACAGGGGAAATGGGACAGACGCAGACAGAGGATTATCTGTGCACAGCTCAGAGATGTGCAGCCCAGGCAGCATGACCCCAGCCTGGATGCTTTCCAAGCACAGCCCGCTGTTCCCAGGCACATATGATGTTGGCGTGACTGCAGTGCCCCTACAACAGCACACATGTTGTCAGAACCCAGAGGATGCAGACAGATCATCAGCTCTCCCATCCCAGATGGGGACACCTGGGACCTTCACCGGCAGAGGAAGGTGATGTCACCCAGCCCTCAGCAGTCCTGTTGGCTCAGGGAGATCTCTGTGCTGTCCCAGTGACCTGATGAGGGGTTACAGAGGAGATAAGGCCACACATTCCTCAAAACCCTATATCCATAGGTCAGGAAGCAGTAGAATTGCAGCAAGGGAACGACTGCTTACAGAAAGCCCATCACAGCAGTGATGTGTCTCAGAGAGCGGTCACAACACAACACTGGTTTGTGAATAGAGGAACAACTTCAAAGAAGGCTATCTAGAACAGCCACAAAGCAAACACTGCCTGTGTACACAGTGGCCTTTTAGTGCCTTGCTAACTGGACTCCAAAGAACCACAAATGGAGCATTTGCTCCATAACTCATCTGCAGGGCAGCCAGCAAGGCCAAACCTGCAGGACAGCACTGCATCCACAACCACCCCCCAGAGACACAGAGTATCCTCCATGAGCAGTTCTCTATCACCACCCTGCTCCTCACTAACAAGCTCTGAATGCTCGTGGTTTTGTTATCAGTGAGATAAAGCACTGTGCACAAACCACACCATCAGCCTGCACTGTAAAGGCAAGAGGAAGGAAGAGGGCTTTCAGCCCCCAGTGCCCTCCTGGCTCTGCTCAGTGGTGGGAAAAGATAACTCCTGTCATGCCACCGGACAGCTCACTGTGGTACATGGGGGAATATGAGCAATCCCATAGCCTGACAACCCCCTGCCCACCCCCCCCTTCCCTGGCACCCTCAGGAGCATAAGCACCGCACAGGTCTCAAAGACAAGGCACTGTAGTACACATACAGAATGCATCCTCAAGGGGTAGCAAAAAAAATATTATTAAAAAAAAAACTAAAACACACCTTGAGCTAATGATGGGAATTGGCCGCTCTTACTGAAGTCGTCCACCCACTTCTCAGTTTGAGAATTAATTTGTTACATGCAACGTGAAAACATGGGAGGAGGGCAACCCTCGCCTTGGGGCACGTGATGCTCAGATGTGCAGACAGCACCTTGCACAGCAGCACAGCCAGGTCCTGATGGGATGAAGGCTGACCCAGCTCTGGTGCAGTGCTCAGCTCCCCTGAGCCAGCAAACCCCAAAACAGAGAGCCCAAGCACATCCCTGCAGCTCACCTCTGTCACCATGGACACACGCACTGAGGGCACTCACTTCCCACCCACCAGCTCTCAGTCGCTCGCAGAAGTTAGCTGGGGAACTACAGACCCGTATTTCCTTTCGTGATTTTAAAATCACTTTCATTTCCATTAAAAGAACATGCAAGGGGAAGAAACCCCAATTGGGTGCCATTTCTGTTGTAGTACCATGACCCAAAACGAAGTCTCCCACCACAAAAACAGCTCCACCCTCTGCCAAAGCCATCCTGTCCCCACTTCTCAGTACCCCCTGCCTGGTACCATGCTGTCATCACACCCAGCTGGTTCCTATTGGTGTAACCTGGCCATAGACAGTTATGGGGGTATGAGGACATTGCCAGAGACCTGCTCTCCTCCTCACGTACCCATATGGCTGTGCTTGTAGCAGCACAGAGCCACAAAGGGCCCTACTGAGCTGTTTGGCATTAAGGTCACAGGACCACTCGTGGAAAGAAGCAGCTGTGCTGACCTGTGCTGCCAGGTCAGTGCCCACCCTGCTGCCCATCATCCCCACCCCATGCGGAAAGCTACAGTACAGCACTCACTGCCATGCTCTAAGGGAAACAGCACGCAGTGCTCTGTCACCAGCTGGGCCGTCAGGGAATAAACACAGTGGAAATAAACACAGACCAGCAGGGCCAGGTCTCACCCCACCCGCTGTCCCTGCTGTTTCTTCAAAGCTACTCACAGAAACCCTTTTTCTAATTGACCGCCAGCCAAGAGATTGGATTAATCCTTCCCTTACCATGCCTCAGACCTGCAGTTCTCACCATGTGATTTGTAAAGGCAGCATGCTGTAGATACACCCAGAGGTGCTGTACTGACCTTATTTCTCCTTCCAGATCAGAACAGCTGCAGGACCGCAGCCGATTCCAGCCAGCCAGCTGTGCCCCCATCCTGCCCAGCCACACCAGAAACCTGCAGCCTAACAAACCCTGAATCTTTCTCTAATTAATCTAACGAGACCGCTGTTCTGATCTACCCAGGAGCAGGGCGGCACAGAACCATGCCAGACAAGACAACCAGGCTAATGGCTGCCAAAGCCTGCCTTCCTAACTATGCTGACTGGATGATCTTTTAGGTCTTTTCCAACCTTGGTGATTCTATGATTCTATGATTCTATGAAGGCTCCCCACAAACTTTCCATAGGAAATTCACCAGCTCTGTGCTCAGGCAGCCCCTCTCCCACCCAGCATGCACACAGCAGTGCTCCATGGACTCAGCCTGGCCCAAATCACAGCCCCAACCCTCCGAGCATCGCACAGAAGCTTACTTTAGGATGAGATTAACTTCTCCGAAGCGATCTGCAAAGAAGGAAGGGGCCTTTCTGCGCTAAAAACACCGCCCACCCCGGACTCTCTCTTTGCCTCCATACATACACCATCACGTCCAGCCGCCAGACCCGCACGGCAGCAGACTGATAAGGATCGGACTCTCCCACAGAACGACACTGGAAGCAGGAATTAAAAGGGCGTTCCCAGCAGCCGGGAGCCACGCACCCCGTGCCCGGGGCCCACCCCGCATCACCTGCCGGGCGCCGCCCGCCGCGCCGGGCCCGGTTCCGTTGAGCAGCGGGGTTGTCTCCCCCGCACGCTCGTCCTCGTCGTCGCGGGGGTCGCGGCCGGACCACGACACCTTCTTGGCGACGTTGGCCATGCGGACCGGCTACAACTCCGGCGGTCCCTGCCTCACCGGCCGGTCATGTGACACCTGCCGGCGTCACGTGAGCACTACGGCGTCCGGCGCGGCGATCGCGCCCCGGGGCACCATGGGAGTTGTAGTCCCCGCACCCTGCGGGGCCGCTCTCAGCCCGGGGCTCGGCACCGCCCGCGGGGCTCTGTTGCTCCTGGAGGGCAGGGCGGACAGGCGGGGCGGTGAGCAGCTGGGCTGGCGGCTCTGGCTCATCGCGGGTCACTGGCGTTTCCGTGCTTCCAACTTCCCCGGTTGTGACTCAGTGGCAGATGCTGGCGGCCGGCGCCCGGCTGTCACTGCGCTGCGCCGCGTGAGCACGGCAGCGCGGCGAGGAGAGCCCTCGCACCAGGGAGCCGTGCGGGTTTCAGGGAGCGCCGCTGTACGTTAAAACCCGCCTGAAACTGAATTCTGTACAGCTTGCTGTGGGATGCTGCACCCAGCAGGGCTGTGAGCGGCACCGAGTGCTGCAGTGAAAAGCAAGACCAAAAATAGATGCCATTTCCTCTCTCTCTAAAGCACTTTAATAGGAATAATGAGGCTATATGTGCTCTTGGGGGCAGGAACTGGAGATGTGGAGGAGCAGACTTCTGCCTGGTGCCCCCCCACGGCCTGCCCACAGCTCCCCAGGAACACAACCACCCTGGCTGTGAGGCAGCCTGCTGCCTGTGTCCCATCACCCAGGGGATGCAGCTCACACTGCCCAGGCACTACAAGCCACCATGAGCTCTAGGAACCGGCACTTTCCCTCAGCCATCATGGGCAGTTCTGGAGGCAGGCACACCTCCCCCTGCGTACCTCACCCTGCAGGGTGGCATTAGCCAGCGTCAGGAGGGGCCCATGGGGCAGCCCCTGCCCAGTAGCCATGCTGGCCACCTCCCCAGGCAGCAGAGCCCTGCTCCAGAGGGCCAGGCCAGCCAGCTGGCCCAGAAAGGGCACAAAGTCCCCACTGTGAGATTGCTGCTGGCCCAGCATCAGTGAGCCCCCAGCAGGAACCACATAGCCCTGCTGGAAGCCAGAGCCAGCAGCCAGCAGCCTCCTGTCCACATATAAACGGTACTGGCCATAGCTGGATGACCAGGTAAGGCAGAGGTGGTGCCACTTGCCATCCAGGAGTGGTGTAACTGAGAGCTGCCGAAACTCTGTGTCCCCGATAACAAAATGTGCAGACCCAGGGTGGACTCCATGCAGGGCCAGCTTGCTGCCCTCGGCCTCACTGGTGTAGGACAGGACCGTGCCGAGGTGAGGGGCTGGGGTGAGCAGCCAGGTGCACAATGACAGCTCCCGCAGCCCCACATGCAGCTTCGGCTGGAGCACAGCACCGTTGTTGGCTGAGTTGTTGGAGAACAGCAGCACGGAGCCCACCCTGCACACTGGGGAGGGAAAGCAGCACTCAGTCACAGCTACAAGGACAGATGTCCCTAGGGCTTCACAGTGGGCTGTGCAATCCCTGCAACCCTCACTACAGGACTTGCGTGGAGCCCCATATTTTAAAATGGAACCGAAGGCAAAGCTGTGTCACAGAGAGCTCTGATACCTGTCAGCACCAGGACCAGACCACCCTCCCGTTCCACTGGTCAGGTAAGGGACCTGCACCCACCTGTCTCCAGCTGTTGGAGGGCCGGGAGCTGCTCCTGGGGGCCAGTGGCTGAAGCGGACAGCACTGCTGTGACAGCTTTGGTGTCACCAAGGGGCTCGGCGTCCTCCCCGGGCATTCTACTGGGTCCAGTCTCCACCAGCACCAGTTGCCTTTGCTCCCACTGACGCTGCTGCTGCCTCACCTTGAGGGGTCGAGAGCTGAGAGTACTGAGGGACACTGAATGCTGCAGCTCCTGCTGGCTGCGCACTGCATCCTGCAGGCTTTGTGGCTCAGCACGGGGGCTCTGGGCTCGCCCTTCCAGCCTCCTTACTCTGCGCTGCAGCTGCCGACTGACAACAGCCAGGCGGGCCAGCTCAGAGCCCAGGGCAGCCCGAGCTGCGTCGGCTGCCTCTGCCTGCTCTGCCAGTGACCGAAAGCGGCTGTCGATATTGTAGGAGATGTTGTAGTTCCTGGCAATGCTCTGGAGATGGCTCAGCGTCACCTCCTGGAACCGGTGAAACTGCAATGGAGTGGTGTGAAGGATGCCATGGGGATGGGCCCTGCTTTGCTGCGCCCCCCAGGCTGCCCAGCACCCACCTGCTCCTCCAGCTGCCGCAGCCGCCACAGCAGAGGGAGACTGCGGGCCGTGAGCCCTGGGGCATCGGACAAACTGCCCTGCAGGGTGGCAGAGAGCAGCAGGCAGAGGGGCAGCACTGACCTCGCCATGCTGCTGCCGAATGCTGTCTGCCCGCAGCTCCAGTTCCAGCCTCTGGTGCTGCTTCCTGAGATGGTTTCCACTGTGATGAGGTTTGCAGGAGGTGCTGGCGCAGCCTCACAGCCACTGAAGCCAGGAGCTGCCCCCAGCCATCCTTCTCCAACGTGGCTGTTCCTGCAGCCCTGGAGCTGCCAGAACCCTGCCGCCCAGGGACTGAGCTGCGCCCACAGGGGCAGCCATAGAGACATTCCTGGCAGAAGTGCCCCCGTTGGGCCCAGGTGTGCAAGGCACAACCCAGAGGACAGTATGGTGGGGAGGAGGTTTGGGCTTATGCAGCAATAGAGAACCTACAGGGCAAACAAGCAGGGCAGCGCAGGATGCTGAGCAGGACAACACAGTGCAGGTTAGTGCAGGCTGGTGCAGCCCAGAGCAGTACAGGACAGCATGAAAAAGTGCAGAATGGCGCAGGCGGGATGGCATAAACAGGACGGTGCAGTCAGTGCAGTGCAGGACGGTACAGGACAGGACAAGAGGGCTCAGGACATCGCCGTGCACTTCGCTATATGCCACCACGGGGCGGCAGCACGTGCGCACCGCGCGGCCACCTGGGGGCGGGGCTTCAGCGCCAAGGGGCGGGGCTTGTGCGACAATGGGCGTGGCTTCGGAGCCAGAGGGCGGGGATTAATCACCAAGGTTCGGGGCTCCGGCGCCAGGTGGTGCGACGGCACCGTCAGGATCCCGGGGCTGCGGCGCGTCCCATTGACCCACCGGGAGATGATGGCAGCAGTGGTGACCCTCGCCCGCCGGATCACTCTGTCAGGTGCGCTCTCCTGCAGGATGGTGAGTCCCCACGTCCCGTGTCCCCTGCTGTTGGTCCAAGCAGGAGAGTGCCCTATGACCCCATGTCACCACACGACCCCTTTCGGTATGTTGCGGGGTCCTCATGTCCCCTCTCCCTGCGTCGGGTTCCTCCATGTCTTTGCACAGCCCCCATCAGTGTCAGGGTTGTCACACATATTCCCTCAGTGTGCGTTGGAATGCACCCAGGGGTTGGCGAGTCCCTGTTCCCTCCACGTCCCAATTCTGTGCACTGCAGTGTCTTCATGTCACCCCCCCAACGTGGGTCACAGTGTCCCCATGCCCCCCTACAATGCTCATGGTGTCCCTATGCCCCTCTCCCTGCCCACCCTTAACCCCCAGTCATGAGTGCCAGATTGTCTTTGCTGCACCTGGGGCAGCTCAGCTTTGCTGTTCTGAAATAGATGAGATTGATGAAGCAGGACCTGCCTTTCAGGAACCCCTGCTTGCTGAGCCTGATCCCCCAGCTGTCCCACGCACACTGAATGATCCTACTCAAGATAGTCTGTTCTGTAACCTTTCCTGGCATTGAGATCAGACTGACTGGTTAGTCATTCCCTGGTTCGCACAGACCGCCTTCACCATCTCTCCCATACTGATCCCCCAAGCTGGTTGCTTTCTGTGCTGGGACTGCACCACTCATCAGGCTTAGAAGGTGCAGAATCTTCTCCTAATTTCAGCAGATTCCAGTTCCTCCAGTTCCATGGATGAACCACAGTGACAGTCCACCCCACCCTGTTCCCAGCCCCTGCATCAGACAAGCTGCCCTGCAGGGTGACAGAGAGGCAGCACTGAACCCGCCATGCTGCTGCCGAATGCAGTCTGCCCGCAGCCCCAGGTCCTGTGCTGCTCCCTGGAATGGCCTCCACTGTGATGAAGTTTACAAGAGGTGCTGGTGCAGCCTCACAGCTCCCACCGGAGGAGCTGCCCCTGGCCATTCTGCCCCAATGTGGATGGTTCTGCAGCCCTGGAGCTACCAGAGCCCTGCTGCCCAAAGACTGAGCTGTGCCTGCAAGGACCTCCACGGGGACACTGCCACGGGATGTAGCCGCACCAGGCTCAGATGTGCAAGGCAGAACCCAGAGGGCAGCAGGGTGGGGGAGGTTTGGGGTCTGCAGAGCAGGTGGAGCAAGCAGGCAGAGCACGATGCAGCACTAAACGAGGTAGAGTAGTGCAGGATGGTGAAGGCAGGACAGGACAGTGCAGGACAACACAGTGCAGCTTAGTGCAGGCTGGTGCAGTCCAGGGCAGTCCAGAGCAGTGCAGGATGGCGCAGGTGTGATGGTGCAGGAGGACACAGCGCAGCATAGCGTAGCCCAGCACGGCATTGGGACTCACGCCCGCCACCACGGGGCGGCAGCACTTCAGTGCCGCGCGGTCGGCTGGGGGCGGGGCTTCAGAGCCGGGGGGCGTGGCTAAGGGACCAGGGCGTGGTCCCAACGCTGGCTTGCCTTAAGGGATGGGGGCGTGGCTTAAAGGCTGGGGGCGTGGCTTTCAGCGCCAAGGAAAGGGGCTGCCGGGCTCCAGGGCGGGGCTGTGAAGCTTGGGGCCGCTCCGTGTCTGCTTGGCCTTCCCGGAGAACATGGCGGCGGCAGCGCTGACCCTTGGCCGTCGGATCGCTCGATCAGGTGCTCCCCTCACGGCTGTGCTATCGACGGTATTGAGTTCTCGCGTCCCCTGCTGCCGGTCCGAGAGGGAGCATCCCCACGGACTTTGCCCCACGGGGGGTGATCTGGAGCCCCGTGTCCCCCCGCGGCCCTTTTCTATACATAATAGAGTACACTTGTGCCCTCTCGCTGGGTCGGGTTCCTCCATGTCCCCACATGGCCGCTGTCAGCGTGTCAGGATTGTCGCATGTCTCCTTGTAGGGGTCAGGGTGCCCCGATCACCCCCACCACGTGTTCGGGTGTCCCCATGTCACTGCACCAAGGTGTGCCGTCTCCCTGTTCCTCCCATGTCACCCTTCTGTGCACTGCAGTGTCCCCGTATCCCCCCACAGTGTGTCACGGTGTCCCCGTGCCCCCTCACAGTGCTCATGGTGTCCCTGTGCCTCTCTCCCTGTCTGCCCTCATACCCCTGTCCCCCAGGTGTGCTGTTTCCCCGCAGCAGCCCACAGGTTTGGAGTCAAGCTGCCTGGCAGCCCCCCGGCCTCCTTTCCACCCAGCGCCGTGCCTTCAGCAACAACAAGATCCTGGTGGAGCTGGACACGACTTCAGGTACAGCGTCACATCACCCCACTGAGCCCCACCATGCAGCCCTGGGCACGGAGAGCCACCAGAGCCCCATACGTTCTGCCTTCAGCCATATAAGGCCAGCAGAGAGAAGAGTGTGGGGACAGAGATGTCACCAGGTGTGGCACTTGGTGAAGCTGTGTGCCATGTGCAGATCCCAGCTTCCATAGGGTCCCTGCTTTGTGTACCCAGCAGAAGCAAGCTGTCCTCCAGGGAGCAGCTGTTGGGATTTCTGTGCCCTGGCAGCCAGGTGTAGCTGTCGCGGGGCCGTGTACCCTCTGCTTGATGTTTCCCAGGGTCTCCTTTGGCTATTGGGCCCCTCCTGTTGGGCCTGCCCTGGGCTCAGACCCTTGGGAAGGCCTCTGGGGCAGGGCTGTCCTGTCTGGGAGGGGTGAAGGGCTGCAGGCCTGAAGAACCAGGGGGAGAAAAGATAGGATCTGAGTAGAGTGGGAAAGCAAAAAGGCTCAGAAGGAATTCTGAGCACAACAGGCATAGGAGTGGTATGTGCTGCTCTGCTGTGGGGTTTCTGATGCCTCTGTGTTTACCATGGCTCAGGTGTAGCCACGATGAAGTTCAAGAGCCCTCCAGTCAACAGCCTCAGCCTGGACTTCCTCACTGAGTTCTGCATAAGTCTGGAGAAGCTGGAGAACGACCGGGCCTGCCGGGCCCTGATCATCACCTCGGTACATGCTGCCCTGGGATGGCAGTGTGCTGCAGGACGCTTTGCCTCTGGGTGATATTTGTGTTTTCTTGGTTCCAGACCATCCCCAGAGTCTTCTCATCTGGCCTGGACATCATGGAGATGTGTGGGAAGAGCACAGAGCACTATGCTGAGTTCTGGAGAGCTGTGCAGGAGATGTGGCTCCGGCTGTACGGCTCCAACATGGTGACAGTCGCTGCAATCAATGCAAGTCCTTTATATTTGCTTTCGTGGCTGCTCTGTGTGCTCTGCTGCTTGCTGTGTAATGTTGTTGTGTGTGCAGGGACAGCCCCCAAACCAGTCTTGTCACTTGCTGAAACAAATACAGTGTTGGGATGTGCAGGTCTGCTGCACCGGGGTATGGGAATGCTTGGGAGTGGGGGGCATCGCAGTCTCCAGGTAATGCTGCACATGATGCTGAGATGCAGCAGCATTTGGGTGATGGGGAGCTCACACTGCACTCATGTCTGGCTAACAGGGGCTCAGACCTAAATACCACAGACACTGTTTTGTGCAGCAAGAGCCAGTCTCAGCCCCAAGAAGTTGCTTGCTAATCTTTAGAGTGCCTGTCACGTGCATAGTGTTTCTTTTGCACAGATGAGACTCATGGGAGTTGTCTGGTCTTGTTTGCCTGGCTGTTGCACTGCCTTTGTAGCTGGAGGGGAGGAGATTGGGTGGGAGCTGTGCAGTACTGCAAATAATTGGCCTCCGCCCTTTGGACAGCAGTGCTTTGGAAGCTGGGCAGTGAGGCATATTCTTGTCTTCTTCCTTTCTGTCTGCTTTGTCCTCCTGCCAGAACTGTGTGCCAGCAGGGAAATACTCTTTGAATTGCAGTGTTCCTAAATATGTTATCCAGTCAGCATCTTGTTTTCATTTTTCAGTGCAGTACTGCTTTGCTCGTGGCTCTGTGTCTGTCTATCTTTGAAGATGACTGGATCTCTGACCAGCTTTCCGCAGGCATCCTGTGAGGGCTAAGCAGGCACTGAATTGTGGTTGAAATTGAAATCGTTTAGATGGCAGTGAGGGTCACAGGCTCATAAGAAAGTGCCATAACAAATCTCTGCAGGTTTTGCAACCCAAGCAGTGTTTTCTCTGGAGGAGTCTCTGAATTAAAGAGTGAAACTCAGTGGGAGCAGAGCAGTTACTTAGATTTTCAGAAACAAAGAGCACTAAAAATGAAAGTATAAAGCATATCAGACATCTTTAGTGGCAGTTTTGAGTC